GGCCCCTCACCTTTTTTTTTAACCTGGGATTGAACTCAGGGTCTTGGGCTTGCCAGGCAAGTGCTTATTCCACTGAGCCATCTCCCTGGCCCCTTGGCCCTCAGCTTCTTCCCTTCCTTTGCCTGTGGTTGAAGTCAGGCCTCACAGCTGGACAAGGCAACAGTGCAGGGCAAGTACATAGCCTTTCCCAAAATTATCCACCTGCCCAGAGACAGAGCCCAGAACAGTGGCTCCCCCCCCCACAGGGGAGGGGCAAGCGTGGGGGGGGGAGGGGCGCTGCTTGCCCAAGCTGGGCAAGAAGCTCAGGATGAAGTAGCTGACATCGAAGGCTGAAGGGCAGGCCCAGCTAAGTCTGAGGCCTTGTTCTGCCAGCCCATTCCCCAGGCGACCTTGGGCAAAGTGACTCCACCTCCCTGAGATTTCATTTCCATCTGTGAAAGTGGAACTCTTGAGAGCCCACTTCCTAAGGTTGAGGATTACAAAAGAAAACTCAGCACAAGTATTTGGCCTGTGGCTTGTTTGTTTGTGGTTATTTTTTATTATTCCCATATAAAGTACTTAATCCTTAAACTGCAAGGTAGGAATCATCATTCTCTTTTGTAGGCAAGGAAGCCGAGGTCAGAGAGGCCAGAACCGTGGGGTGGCCAAGTGGCTTAGCCAGTCCTCGAGCCTGGGTGAGCTGGACTTTCTGAGGCCCCAGGTGGGCAAGCCCAGCTCTGGCCTGACTGTCCAGACCAGACAGAGGTCTCCAGCCAGGTGCAGAGGCTGGCAGTCAGGGAAGACCCCAGAGAGAGCAGGAAGGACTCTGACGTCTCCTAAGTGTCATACCAAGTGCTCAGCCCTGTGGTTGGAAGTAGCAGCTGGGGCTCTGCCAAGGCCCCTCCAGCCACCCGAGGCCCAAAGAGAAGACAGAAACCAGTACTGATGCGCCCACACACACCTCTACCCACTGAGACTCTATTGCCTCAAAGGCATGAACTGGGCCCCACCCCATCTCCTAGAAGCACCATCTGCTGACAGTGGAGCACCTCAGTAAGTCCTTTCACTAGGAGAAGAAGAAACAGAGGCCAAAGCGGAGAGCGGCTTGCCGAAGCTACCCAGCAACAGGGTGACAGAATCAACCAAGAAGCCGGGCCACCTAACCTCTCTGTCCTGCTCAGCGTGGTGGTACAGGAGCCCCCTGGATCCCAGCACTCTGGGAGGCTGAGGCAAGAGGATTGCAAGCTTGAGCTTGGCCTAGGGAACGTAGTGACTTAGTGAGAACTTGTCTCAAAATAAAAGAAATAGATAAATAATAAATAAGTACATAAATAAATAAAAAGAGCTGGAGGTATAGTTTATAGTGCAAAGGCCTTGGATTCAATCCCTAGTACAGAGAGATTGAGTGAGCAAGAGAGCGAGAGTGAAAGAGAGAGACAGACAGAAAGACAAAGATTAGGGAAGAGACAGACACAGAGATAGAGGATAAAAGAGAAGAAAAAAGAAGTCCTGCTGCTGGCTTCCTGCCCATTTCAGTTCAAGAGTCTGCAGCCGGAGGACTTTTTCTTTCCTTGAAGCAGCCTGAGGACCTCCCTTTTCTTTCTTTCCCCTCCCCTTCCCTTTTGGAAGCCTCTTCCCCCCACCCCCCAGCCCTTCACCTACAGCCCTGCTGCCCTGCGCTCAGGGCCACCTCTGGAGAATCCCTCTGTGCAGGGAGTGAGACATTTCTGTCTCCTTGGCAGTTGTGTGCCCCCTGCACTTTCTTACCAGAGAGGCTTTGGGTATGAGCAGGGGCCGACTGGAGCTAGTTGGCCTGGGCTCAAATCCAACTCTCTCTCTCTCTTTCTCTCTCTGCTTCTGATCTTTTTCTCCTGGCCACGGTGTTTAACCTCTCTGAGCTTGAGGTTCCTTTTCTGTTGAATGAGGCTGTTACTAGGACTTCCTCGAAGGGTTGTGGTGTGAGGAATCCAGACATTAGTGTAAGTCAAGAACCCAGACTAGCACCGGGGGCCTGACTCATGCTTGGAAAGTGTCCGCTTTTGGTACTGTAAATCTTGCTCATATTTGCACCACCTGGATACCCCATTGACACAAATTCTACAGACCCAGACCCAGGGTCCCCAAAGCTACCTTAGTAACTTGACATCCTAGTTTCTCACCACTAATTGGGGAGAAGCTGTCTCCAGCTTTCTCTCCATTCCAGGACTGTGAGCTTGGGCTTTTAAAAAGCACCTGTCCCCTTTCCAGCCGAGCCAGCACGCGTGTGCAGCTGGTGTGTGCACGCACACTGAGCACGCACGCGCACAAGCGCTCACACCGTTCTCTCTGGCTCCTCAAGGAGAAAGGACTTCTCCACGGTTGCAGTTAATTCACTGCTTCCTGGTCCCCCCACCCCCAGGGAGCCGCTCTGAGCATCCATCCGTCCTTGTCGAATTCCAAAGGTAGCTTAGCAACAGTACTGGCATGGTGAACCCCCAGCGCCCAACAGTAACCTATTTTACAACCACCTCCTCCCTCACTCACCCAGTGCCAGGTTCCTGCTGCATGCACAGGAACCAAGGTCCCCCAGGCAGCTGCTTGCCCCGTCGGTCCTGCCCCGTTCGCGCTGCCTGGCCCCCTCTCCTCCCCTTCTCTCACCTTCTCACTCCACCACCCTCAAAGCAGTCCCCCCAACATTTCCATAAAATCTGGGTACTTTGACTAATCCTTTTTCCAAACTGTAATTTCCCCTGAGGCTTCTGTCAGCTGGATGTGGATTTTGTAGGATTTTTAATTTTTTTTTTTTTTTGGAAAAAGATAGAATTATGGGGTCAGCACTTATGACCAACTCCTGTGGGTGGTGAGATCTATTTTAGATATACGGCAGGATTAAAGTGGGGAGGAGAGCAGATTTAATTAAGTTGCTAATATTTAAAGAAAATTGATGAACTCTTGGTTTACGAGTCGCACCGGCGTGAACAGACCCCTCACATTCCGGGGGAGGCTTTTTATTTGATTTGCTTTCCGTTTAAATCCTGCGCTCGTTTTATTTGCGTAGCCGCACTGTCCGTTTAATTGTCTTTAATAAGGAAAACGTACCTCTGCTCGCATTTAATTTTGATTTAATTAGGAGGAAGTAATTAATGGCCTCGTAAATCCCATTTTTCAGCCCCCTGGGATGAGAAACTATCACTCTCGTGTTTTATGCGTTGTTTATGGCCAAGGGGATTTTTCCTCTGGGGCCAGCTTTACCCGGTGCAGTAGTAAGAATCCTGGATGCTGTATCAGAGCAGCCTGGAGGCCACCTTGTGTTAGCTGTGTGGCTTTAGGGAGGATTTACACCATCTCTGGGCCTCACTTCGCTGGTCTGTGTCACCGGGAGATGTCTCTGATCCATAGGATTATGATGAAGCATTGGTGAAGTAAGAGTGAAGGGTCTAGAACTGTGTCTGGGACATGACAGTTCCCAGCCACTGTGCTCCACAGTGCAGCTTGTGTGTACCTGGGGATGAACAGATCAGCAGTGTCCTTTGTGAGTCCTAGAAGACAGTTGTACATGTTGTCATGTGTGCATTTAATGTGTTTGGTGTTGAGCCTTGAGCTGGGTGCTAGAGATATGGAAGTGAGCAGCCACACAGCCCTCCCTCAAGGGGCTTGCAGCCTCGCACTCTTCTGGGTGCACATCAGCTTGCCTACTGCCCACGGCCAGGCGCCTTGTGTGTGCCAGGCATGTGGAGCTCAGACAGGTGAATGGAGCTCTGCCCCTGTCCTGAGACCCACGGCAGCTGGAGGTGCAGATACACACCACTGAGGTGTCACATGGTGGAGCCAAGGGGAAGGGGTACAGAATAGGAGGGAAAGGATGCGGTCTCCCTGCCAAAAGGAGCCATGTGAGAGGCCCACCGGGAGGAGGGAACCAGCTGAGTTTAAAAGACAAGCAGGTGTTGGCTGAGGGTCCCTGGGTCTCCAGTGTGTTGGGAATTGGGGCTACGGTCCTCATGCCAGGAGATGGAGAAGGTAAACAAGGTGACGTTTCAGTCCCTTCTGACACTGGTGGGGGGGGAATGGTGTGTATATCTACACTGGACACGTATTGTGTGTGCCAGCAGCTTCTGCCTATTACCTCATGGTTCTTTAGAATCTGCAGGGAAACAATGTCAGCCCCACTTGCAGATGAGAAAATAGAGGCTCAGAGAAGGGACTGGCCACCTTCCCAAGGCCAGGCAATGGCCCAGTGGCAAAGCTGGGGCCAGAACTCAGCTGCTTCTGACTTCAAAGACAATTAATTATCTTCCCTGACTTGTGACTGAAGACCCCTTTCCAAGTGGTGAAACGGAGGCTCGGAGAAAAGAAGCCACCAATGAACATGACCTGCTGGGTACAGGGAGAGGCTGGGATCGAGGCTGGCTACTCCTAGCCCCGCAGCCCCTTGACTCCACTGCAGCCCCTCTTTCCCCTTTTCTTTCATCTGCTGCTGGAAGTGCAGTCAGCAAACCAAGAGAGAGAGCACAGAGGGATCTACCTGCATTTGAATGTCCAACAGACCTGGCCCATCTCAGCCTGGGCCTGTAAACGGGGATTTGTGCACATACCCTGCAAAGCCAAGGTACATTTCTGCACACAGCCAGAACACGTCTGACACATAGTAGGTGCTTGCTGTGTGACAGGAGCGTCATCCTGCAGGCTTTGCTCGCAGCTGAGAGTCTTGAGAAATATCTTCTCAGAACAGAGCCAGAGATGCTCCATCTCCACTCCGGAGTCAGCACCCAGCCAAGGGCAAAGCCACAGAGACGAGCTCTTAGCATCTGCCCAAGCCGATTGGACCTGTCTGGCTCGGAAGTCCCCAGAGAGCAGCCGCTGGGCCCCTGTGCTAGCTCCTTGTCATGATTCAGAGAAGAGCATCGATGACATCATTGCTGGGTTCCACTTCCTCCTCACTGATAAGTGATCCCTTTCCAAGGTCTGAGTTAAAATGTCAAGGGCTTCAGGGACGTAATGGAGATTCAGGAGACAGAGAGAAGGAAGCAGCCATTGACCTGGCGCTTGAGTCATAGTGAACTTGCTCTCATTTACTTCTCATCACACCTCTGCCAGGTGGGGCTCCAGCTGATGTCTCAGGGGTAAAATTAACAAGCCCATGGCCACAACATTAGTGAGTGGCCATGTCAGGCGGGAGCTTGGTTTTACACAGAGCAAATGACTTCCCCTATCAGTGCCTCAGTGACCTCATCTTAGAAATGGGAATAGTAATGTTTCCTAGGGCAGTGATGGAGACCAATAAAATTATTACTGTCACCCTCCCCATAGCTTCTCTTTTACCATGCCGCTCAGAAATGTTTGCCCGTTGAGTAAGAAGATCACAGGTCCGATTGCAAAGGGAGAGCAGATGCGCGAAGAGGGAACAAATCCGCCCTCTCCCACGCCATCTCCCCCGGGAAGAAGAGCACAGGAGAGACAGGTCTCCTCATCCCCGCACTGCCAATGATTCAGGGCCGACGTCCTGAGATAATTTTATTGGGGGCATTAAACTGAGTTATGAGGTTTTTACAATCCAGCCACTTATGAGAAATCTATTAACAGTAACTGGACAGGAAGAAGGCTTCTCGGTGGAGCCCAGGACGGGCATTAATTGGGGCAATCTATAACAGGACAGGGACCCGGAAAGGCTCCACCAGACGCCTCCATTTACACCCCGCAATTTCTGCTGAGAATCAGCAGACTCGCCAAAAAGAGAGAGATGCCCATTAATCGGCTAATGAAATATGAAAATGTTTATGGGCCATTCAATCTTCCAAATGGCACTTCTATAATCCACCTTTCAGACACAAAGTTCTACCCACAGAATTTACACCCTGCTCCTCCTTCGTGGCAGGGGTGGGCCCTCCTCCCTTCTCCTGACGGATGCTTTGGCACCTGTCCCCTGCTGAGGGAGCTGGGGGTCACAGCATCCTGGCCCGAGAAAAGCTTCAGGAATTTTCTCCTTCATACCCCATCTCCACAGAAGCTTAGAGCAGAGACCTGCCTGAAGTCTCTGGCTTCACCCAGATGGATTTTTCACTGCTCGGGGCTGCCTTGGGGATTTGGGCATTGGTGGGTAAAGTCTTAGGTGTTTCTGTTTGCCAGAAAACAGACTTCTAACTGATTCCTCCCCCAAGAGATCTCGGTGGACTGCAAATAGCCTGGGGTCTAGAGCCTAGCAGTACTGAAATGAGGGAAATTCCAGTTATATATAGTGAACATTTAGTACTAATATAATAATAACCATAGCTACTGTTTATTGGACACTTATTACGTCTCTGGCAGAGCTGATTTCCAGCTAGTACAAACAGGTATAGTTGTACCGGTTGTTAAAATACTGCAGAACCTCCATGCCGACAGTAAACAGCCCTTCTCCACTCCCTGCTCCAGTTCCTAGTCCCCCTGACATCATGGTCCAGCAGCCACGGCATCCCTGCCTGTCCCAGTGGGGTCCTGCTGCAGTGTCATTGTATGGGCTGTTAAATGTGGTATGTGTCTCTGGTGCTGGGCATCTGCTAAGGGCCTTAGGGGATCTTCAACCCAGTGAACCTCTCCGCTCTGCCAGGGGGACATGCTACTCTGATTGCCCCATTACAGAGGAAGGGATAGGCCCAGAGAGGTGCAGTGACTTCACATGAATTCACAGGGGGGGTGATGCTGAAGCCATGGCTCAGCCGGCTCAGGGGCCCTCCCTTCCAATGAGCCCTCGGGTGGAGGGGAAGAATGTGAGCAAATCACCCCACTTCTCTAATCCTCAGTAGGAAAATGGAAGAAAAGCAAATCTGAAATGCAAAGTAACAAAACCTACTCTAGCAAGGTTTGTTTTTAGAGTCCTGGCCTGGATAAGGGTACCTCTTGTGCAAACTGGTATGCCGGAGGTGCCCCCAATGCCACCCTTGGCCTCTTCTGTCTTTCACCCTCTATCCCTGCTGTATGCTAAGTCCCATGCACCCTGTCCCTTGTATACTGAGATATTTAAGATATTTAAGGTGTCACCCTAACCTCCTGCGGCTCCCAGCCTGCAGGAGATGGACCTGAGTGAGGTCAGGGACCAGCAACCTGACAGCTTATTAGAAATGCAAACTCAGACTAAAGCTCCTGCTTAGGCAGAGCACAGGGGCTGGGTTCGATCTCCCAGGGAGTGCTGAGACAGTGATTGAGACTGGGCTTGGTGGCGCACACCGATAATTCCAGCGCTTAGGAAGCTGAAAACAGAAGAATCACTACAAGTCTGATCTATGTAGTGAGACCCTGTAGAGCCTATAGACCCTGCCCTAAATAGAGAGGAAAAATGCAAACTCAGAGGCCCCACCCAGAACTACTAAGTCTGAAGCTGCATTTTAACAAGATGCCCAGGTGATCCGCAAACACGCTAAAGATTTCAAAGCTCCTACAACACTGAACATGATAATGGTAGCGCGAGTACTAAGAGATCTTGGAGGAAGCGGGGAGGGGAGTCCCCAGACAAGTTTTCTAGAAGAGGTGTCTGGGCCTGGCAGTGAGTGGACTTTCAATGGTCAGAGAAATAAAGACCAGGCTCAAAGTAAGAGGCTGAGGGTCTGCCTGCTACAGGGCAGCAAGGTAAGGAGGGGACTGTGGTCTTCTCTATAAGGTAATGGTGAGCCACGGGAGGACTACAAGCAGGTGGACTCATTCAGATCTTCCTCTGAAGCTGATAGCTGGGGTGGGGATGGGGGGCAAGGGGAAGGTGGATTATAGGTCAAGATCGGAGGAGGGCTGAGCTAGAGCAGGGCAGAGCTTGAGTAGGACAAGTCGTAGAAAGAGGGTGAAACACCTAGGGCAGAGACAGTGAGGCTCAGATTGGCACGTGCATGGCTTCTGGCCTCGGTGTCTCCAATTTATGTTGAAGGACAGATGTGCTTAGGAACAGCCCCCCAGTGGGTCTCAAGTGGGGTGGCAGAGAGGAGTATCCTCCCCGGCCTCCACCCTGCCTTCCTCCTTACTTCCCCAGATCCACTCGGACTCAGACGAGGGTGACGGGGCCATCAAGTATACCATCTCAGGCGAGGGCGCCGGGACCATCTTCCTGATAGACGAGCTGACAGGCGACATCCATGCCATGGAACGTCTGGATCGTGAGCAGAAAACCTTCTACACGTTGCGGGCCCAGGCTCGGGACCGTGCCACCAACCGCCTGCTGGAGCCCGAGTCAGAATTCATCATCAAGGTGCAGGACATCAACGACAGTGAGCCGCGTTTCCTGCATGGCCCCTACATCGGCAGCGTGGCTGAGCTCTCTCCCACAGGTGGGCCGCAGGCACTGCGGGATCAGGGTGAGGGTGAGGCTAGGGTGACTTGCCCCACTAGGGAAGGCTGCCAGGTCCTCAGTGTGCCCTGCTCAGCTCGGGAGGACAGACAGGAACTGCTGCCCAAGGACACTAGGTACAGACACAAGTGCAGCTGACCCCCAGGACAGACAGAGTCCCACGCATGGTCCTGCTGCACAGCTGGACAAGGCCATGCATATGACCTCAGCCCCATCCGTGGACATGGACCTGCATGTAAATGTCACACTGAGACATTCACACACACACACACACACACACACACAATCACACGCACACTTGCAAACCTGGACATAACATGATCCCCACTTACACACAAGCTTAGCTATGTACCACACACAGCCACACCTTAGACACAGCCCAACAGTCAGGCAGCATTCTGTCCTGGTCAGACACACAGGCAACTACATGCTATACCTACAGGAAAGTTCAACTACCCAGACACAGCCCAGAGGTGCCCCATCTCCAGGGACAACTAGACCAGGGCCCAGCCACACACCAGACAAGGCCCTCATGGGGAGCGTCTGCAGTTTCACCCACATAAATGAACCCAGGAAAAGGCTCCAGCAGATATTTCCATACTAGACGTCACTCAGCCAGAGTGCAGCCAGTGAGCAGTGTCTGAAGGTGCTACTCACTGCCCAACAGGAAGGCCCTAGACACAGTCAGTTGCCCACATGCCTGCAGGCAGCCAGGGGCACTGCAACTGCACACATGTAGTTGTGAGGGTGGGGGTGCAGGAAGCCAACCTTCCAAACCCACATCTGGATGAAGACGTTAGACAGCAGTAGTCAGAAACACGTTTGCACAGAACAGGGCAGAGACTAAAGGCTGGGGTCTGACCATCACAGCCTCACTGAGTCCTGGGCTCCTGAGACTCTGGCAGAAACTAGAGCCACAGGTGAAGGGCACAAGCCAGGAGCTTGCAGCTCTCCCCACCAGGTTAGATTGCTTTCTGTGAGCTCCCTCACTTGTCTGGGAGCAGTATGCTAGGCCCAGGCCTCCCTGGTATGCCCACGCTTTGTGCTGCTTCTCTCTGACCTCCTCCAGGGCTGCATGTTGGAGCCAGAGTTACTTGGATTCTTGGCAGAGGGCACAGTGAAACAGCAGAGGAAGAGAAGAGAGGCCAGACAGAGTGGGGGCAGGAGGCATGGGGAACAGTGTGAGTGTGGGCTATGTGCACACCACAGGGTACCCGTGTTGTTTGAGGTATGTGTGCCTTCTACCCTGTGTGCATGCATGGCCTAAGTATTCCAGTGACATGCTGTATCTGCTGACATGTGTTCATGCATGTTACAATTATTTTATTGAGCATCTGCTATGTGCTGGGCACTGAGGACACAGCAGTGAAGAGGCAGACAAGCCTCCCTGCTGTCAGTGAAGGGCATAGTCTCCCCGAGGAAGGTGGACAGTAAACAGGCAAACAGATTATTGACCCTGTAAGAAGAGCATTCTAAGCAGAGAGAGCAGAGGTGCAAAGGCCCTGGGGTTTGATTCTTCCCAAGGAGAAGTGGCAAGGTAACTAGATCGTGCCACTTATAGACCATAGCTAGGTCTGCCTTTTGCAATGACATTGTGGAAAGTCGGTGGAGGGTCTTGTTGAGAAAACTGGAAGGATCTCATGGCTGATCCATAAAGAATAGATAGGCCAGTGGGGGGTGAAGGACAATGCAGGGGCTGGTTGTTCTTGAAGGAGGATGTCTTAAGGACCATCGCAAGAAGTGGGGGTGACTTGGAACATGGCGCTACCACAGGGGGTGCTGAAATGAGGTGACTTGTGGCTATATTTTGAAAGCAGAGCTGAAAGCCACTGCTAGTGGATTCGATGTGGGGTGTGAGAGACAGAAAACCCAAGGATGCCTGTTGGGATTTTTGAGCTGAGCGATGAAATAGAAGGAATTTCCATTGACTAGGATAGAAGGAGGCGATCGGGGAGCTGAAGGGAAAGCAGGAGTTTGGTTTCAGACATGTAAGTTAGGAGCGCTTATTAGGCCACCCAGGGGAGATCTTTAAAAAGACAGTTGAAAAAAAAATTAAAAAATAAAAAGACAGTTGAATAAACAGGTTCAGTGGAGAGGCCTGGGCTAGAGAGATGCATTTGGAAGTTGTCGAAGGCAAAGACCAGTGGAATTTCAAGTCTGGCATGAACTTAGAAATTAACTTTGCAAGTTGGAAAACTGGGATTTGGAGCGATGGTGACATGCCCACGGTCACACAGCAGCAGGGGCAGACCTGGCTTCCCAGTCCCCAATCCCCAGCTTGAAGTCTGGCCTGGGCATTTCTGCATGAAACAGGCCAGAAAGTTGGCTGAACGAATGCTGCAGGAGGAAGCAAGGGCTGTATCTGAAGGAGGAGGGAAGCAGGGAGCCTTTATAGCTCTAGCGGCAGGACGGATGTTAGCATCCCCTGGGCTTGGCCGCTAGACTGTCGGAAGGGCAACAATAATGTGAAAATTGAGTCCAAGAAAAGGACAGCAGCTCATCCAAAGCCACACAGAGCACAGGAGGCAGAGAAGAGCCCCAGTTCATGAGCACCCACGATGTCCTAGCCCTGCCTCATCCACCTTCCCCACCCCAGTAGCTGTCTCGCTGCATTCCCAAAAAAGCGGAGGCAGGGTGACTCCATTTGGACCCATCAAGAAACCCGAGAAGGAGAGGGAGGAGGCAGAAATTAAATTAGTTTATTTCATTTGAGCAACTTTTTGAAGGAGAAACAAATCCGACACCAGGGTGCTTGCGGAGACTCCAGTCAGCTTTGAAAATCAGTCACAATTACTGAGCCTCCTGATCCCAGGCAGAGGAGGGCGGGGCAGACAAGCGGCAGTGGGGTCTGGGCAGCTTTGGAGATCAGAGAGAGCAGGGATGTGGTTTGGGACTTGAAAGGCAGCAGCACTCACAAATTAAACCACTCAGAGCTTAAAAGGGAAGGGAAGTGTGCCAGGGGCCCCGATGAGCCACTGTTCTATGGGGGGAGGGGTTCCCCAGCAAGGCTGAGCTTAATGCAGCGAAGCAGGTCCTGAGCTGCCAGTTGGGAGGCCTGGCACTCTATGACCTTGGGCAAGTCTCTGTCGTCCTCTGGGTCCCAAGTTCCCTTCTTAGCACAGAGAAAGCCCATCTGTGTCATGGATATTTACTGAATGTCCACCGCGCTCCACATACGCCAGGCATTGGGGTTCTTAGGAGGCCTCCACACACATCAGAGCTGAGAAGAGACAGGAAAGAAATAAGCATGTATACAATACCCAGCAGTGTGGATGTATTAAAAAAAAAAAAAAAGGAACCTGCAGTGATGTGGGGGGAGTGCTATTTTAGGTAGAGGGGTCAGAGATGGCCTTCATTGTAAGAGGACATAGAGTCAAAGGCAAAGAACCACAGAGCTGTGTGAGACAGTGTTTTCTAAATTGTATTATGTACCCAAATTACTGAGAGAGCTTGTTAAAGCACACATTGCCATGCAGATCTCCCATGGTAGAGGAATGCATTGCTTGGTTTCTGTTTTCCTTTATGCTACTGCAAATCACAGTCAGAGCCTTGTGTGTGCTAGGTAAGTGCTTTTCCAGTGAACTACAGCACCAGGTTCCCACCTCCCACCCTGAGGATTTCTGATGTAGTAGGTCAGGCTGTTAGAAGTGTTAACATGGGGCCGGTGAGATAGCTCAGCAGACTAAAGTGCCTGTTTAGACAAGCTTAGGCAGGTGCAGAGACTGTGGTTTGATTCCTGGCACCACATGCTGTGCCAGCCCAGCCCCCAGAGTATATGTAAAGTGTTAACAAATTTCCAGATGATGTTGTAGGTCTGGGGACTACACTTGGAGAACCATGAAGCTAACAGGAGGATGCTTCAGGTACAGGGAATAGTACATCCAAAGGTGCCATTGTGTTTGAGGAAAAGGAAGGAAGTTCATGTGGATGAAGAGGAGTGAGGGAGGGCAAAAGTTGTCCAGATGCCTTACAAGAAAGACCAGAAGTTGCATCTCATGGGGCTCCATAGCCATTAGAAAGTTTTCAGTGGTACTCTGACAGGAAGCAGAGGAGTGGCATAATCAAACTTATATTTTAAAAGAATGACTTGGCTGCCATGTTGGAAATAGACCCGAGGGGAAAAGGTTGGAAAGAAGGAGATGAGTGAGCAGAGACGCAGTTGCGAAGTCGAGCAGCAGTGCTGACTTTGCACCGTGTAGGTGGTGAGCTGAGATGGGATTCAGAGTGCATGCTGAAGGTGCAGCCCACAGGGCCTGGGAGGAGCTGGATGTGGAGTGAGAGGCAAAGGAGCCGGAAGAAGCTTTTGGCCTAAACAACTGAATGGAGGGGCTGCTGTGACCCAGACAGAGAGAGGAGAAAATCTGCAAAATGAAGTGTTCATTTTGGGCATGGTAAGGTGGGCTTGAATTTACTGGAAATTCAAGCAGAAATGCCTAGGGGACACATGGATGAGGGGTATGAACATCAACAGAGACAGGGCTAGAGACACAGCAGAGAGAGAGAGAGAGAGAGAGAGAGAGAGAGAGAGAGAGAGAGAGAGAGAGGATTAAAAGATGGAGGCCGAATAAAATCGACAGGGGGTGAGTTTTGATAGAGAGAAGATGAGGCTGGATAACCTTTCAGTGCAGGGGACTGGACCCTTTTCCCGGGGCATCATGACCTGACCAGGAGCCTGCAAAGGGTTTTCATAGGTCTCACACACACAGTTCAATTCCACCTGCTTAAGGATGCCAGCAGTGTACAAGACACTCTACTTGGCACTAGTGAGCATACGGAAAGAAGAAATTCAATTCAATACCCATATATTAGCCACTACTTTATTCTGGGCACTGCAGGGGATGCAAAGACAAGTAATTGAATTAAATCCACAAATGTTTATTAGCACCCATTATATACAAGGCCTTCAGTGTGCATGGCTTGATAGGGCTTGCAAAGATGAGTCATCTACCTTCTTAGCAAACATTTAATAGGACCCGCTTT